AACCATAAATAAATTAAAAAAAAAAACAATTTCAGCGAAGGAACCGGCTCCCTAACAGAGGGAGCCGCCTCCTTCCTCATGGAGCCAGCTCCCTTTGTTAGGGAGCCGCCTCCCTACACCCTAGAGCCGGCTCCCCACTAAGGGGAGCCACCTCCACTCCATGGGAGCCGACTCTCTCCCTCCTCTGCTTCGTCTTCCACTTCTCCGACGACTTCCACACATCCAGTTCCTCTCTGTTAGGGTTCATAGCAGTCCTAGCTAAGTCCCAAATTGTCCCAAAAAGTGTTTAAGTCCATTATATATTACTAACATTAATTTAAACAAACAATCACGCAAGAAATCTTAAGTTCAAGCAAATCAAAATTTATTAACATACATACCGTTATGATCAGATTTAACATGCATGAAAGATAAATTTAACGATTCAATTACTCCTGGAATTATTTAGGCATGTAAAGAACACGAAACCTAAGGGAGAGAGTTAGATATAGAACTTGCCTTTAGGTTTTAGTTTGAAACATTTCACCATCGTCTCTGAGTTTCCAACAGATTGCTAGACTGCCGTTCAACACCTCTGTTGCTCTTGGTTCCACCCCTAAGAAATCACCTTCCTTCCTCCTTAGCCCAACCTTTAATATATAGTCGAAACCCTAACTGGTTCTCTATGTTTTCTCAAACCTCTCTGTACGTGTATATAGTTTGTGCTTTACAACCCTAGGCAGACTTATAGTGTTATTTTTATAAGCAGAACAACTTTAACCTAATGTCATTCATACGAGGAGACGGAAAAGAAAGAAGAAAATATATATATATATATAAAGTACATATATGTATATAAGTCAGCCATGTCATAAAGATATATAAAACCCTAAAACATTATATTACGTATATAAAAATAATGATACTAAATTAATTATTATTATTAATAATAATAAAACCTACCTCATATACATATATACCCATATATATATGTATAACCATCCATAGGTATTAACTATACCCATTTCATCTCCTATCCAAGCCCAACTCCTTTTTAAAATAAAAATAATACATTTAATTTAACAATTAATTTAAATATTTAATTCAAGTCCTCCTAAAACATATAATTTCAATTAAACAAATAATGTCAATTAAACAAAACCAACTTAAACAATTAATGAAAATCCACATAAACATATAATTTAATTAAAATAAAGAAACCAATTAAACCATTAACCAATTAAACAAATAGCCAAATTAACACATAATGAATTTAAAAAATGCAAGAAAACCATAAAAGAAATACCGAGACTATCTTTTTAAAATTAGGGGTATTACAACACATATCAGTTGGACCAACTTAATTTGGGTAAATTGCACTAACACCTCTGAGGCTTTGGTCAACGCCACTCAGCGGTCGGTTAATGGCTTTTTTTACATTGACACCCCCTAAGATTTAAAAAATATGCATTAACACCCCCTCCAGAACTGTAAAACCATATAAAATTACCTTTTAACCTTTTAACTAGTCAACAACTCCATTTAAATCGTGAAATTATAAATTTAACCTCCTAACTAAATTTAATGGACCAAACTAACCTCTTCATCTCTTTTATACATATAGATATAGTTTATATATAATAATACTTATACCACCACAACATAAAAATAAAAAATAAAAAATAAAATTAATTAATTTTTAAATAGCGAGATAACTGTACACCACCATAACCACTACCACCGCACCCAAACACCACAATAGAAAAAATATTGAAAACAGTCATGGCTAACCCATACTTATACGTCCCAAATACTACCAGAACCATTACCACACCAAAACACCACCACCACCACCACACCAAGACAACACCACCAACACAGCCAGACGTTACCAGGACCACCACCACCACCACAATAGAAAAAATAAAAATAAAAATTTTGAAACACCTTGATAAGCTAGACACCACCATAGCACCACAACCACACCATAACAACCACCATCAGAGTAGAAAAAAAAATAAAAACTAGCCATAGCCAACCCAGACCCACCACAACAGTGAAAAAATAAAATAAAATAAAAAAGAAGTAGCCTTGTTCGAGATTGAGAAGAGTGAGAGGGAATGTTAGTGGCTAGGTACTAAAATTAACCGAAAAAAAAGAGAGTTAAAGATTAGGTAGAGAAAAAGGGTTAATGATGAGGTAGTTTCATCAATTAACATGGCTGATATTTTGTAAATTAATTGAATTAAATAATCAGGGGCAAATATGACGTTTGAAATCACAGGGGTGTCATTCTTAAAAAAAGCCGTTGACTGCATCTGAGTGACATTGATCAAAACCTCAGGGGTTGTCAATGCAATTTACCCTAAAATTTAGAATGAAATGAAATTCAAATTGAATTCTTTAAAATACCCCTTAGTGACAAATAAATCAAATTAACAAAATAACATCTATATACTTTTTTTAAAAATAAATGGCGCCGATGGTGGATGGTGGTGATGATGGTAGTGAAGGTGGAAAATGATAGTAGTGTAGGTGATAATGTCGAAAGGCAGCGGTGGTGGTGGAAAAAAGCGACAGTTGTGTTTGTGGAAGGTGGTGGCATTGGTAGTAGTGGTGTAGATGATGATGGTGGAAGGCAGTAGTGTGGTGGTGGTGGAAGGCGACAATGATGTAGGTGGTGGTAGTGGTGCTGGTGAAAGTCGGCAATAGTGGAGGTGGTGGTGGCTGTGGTGGAAGGTAGTAGAGGCAACGACGGTGTGGTGGTGGAAGGCGACAGTGGTGCAGGTGGTGGTGAAAATCGGTGGCGACAACAGTGATAGAAGGCGATGGCAGTGGAGGCGGCGACGGTGTGGTGGTGGTGGTGGAAGGCGACGGTGGTGTAGGTGGTGGTGGTGAAAGGTAATGATGGTGGAAGGCGGCAGTGGAGGTGATAATGGTGGTGGTGGTGGTGAAAGGCAATGGAGGTAGAGGCGGTGATAGAGTGGTGGTGGAAGTCAATGGCGGTGATGGCAGGGGTAATGACTGTGGTGGAGTGGTGAAAGGTGGCAGTGGTGAAATATAGTTGTATTGACGGCGGTGGTGGTAATGGAGAAGGTGGTGGAAGGCAATGGAGGTGGCGGTGGTCGACGGTGGTAGTGGTGGAAGTTGGTGGTGACGATGGAGGAGGTGGTGGTGGTGGGCAGTGGAAGCGACAGTGTGGTGGTTCAAGGCGATGGTGGTAGCGGTGGTGGAAGGTAATGGAAGCGGCAGTGGTGAAATGTAGGGGTGAACAAATAATCCATCAATCTGGTCCGAACCAATCTGATCCGTGTGGTTCGGTTTGGTTTTCAAATCTCATGGTTCGGTGATGGTTTGAAAAATTTGCAATCCGGTATTCACGGTTTGGTTAACGGATTGGACCCTGAAAAAATCGAACCGAATCGTTAACCGATCCGATCTGAACCATTACCTATCAAATCCGTTAACCGATCCGAACCGAACTGTTCCTAAATAATATATTAATATATTATATATATATACACACAATATTAAATATACTTATTACTTACCTAGCTCCCAAATAATTCATTACTCTCATCTCATTTCATTACAGCCGCCCCTCCCTTAGCCTCTTCTCTTCAGTCTTTTCTTTTCACCCTTGGCGTTACATGCTACTTCAAGTCCATGACCTCTCTCACTCGCATTTAGCTCAGAGCTCGCTTTTCCGACTCCCTGTAAAACTCCATCAAATTCGCCAATCCCCTTTCTCTCTTTCTACTTTCTCTCTCTAGGTCTAGGACATGGGTTTCACAGCTACTCCAGTTTTCTTCACTATCAGTGTTACCCTCTTAATATCAGCCATTGGATCAGCTCATGCCTCTGTCCACATCTACGATCGAGATTCCTTCAGAGAAGTCGGTAATGCTTTCCTTTTCTCCGGCAGTAGCGAAGGCATCGTTGCTTCTCTCACTGCCGTTCCTCTTACCGACAATTCGATCCCATCGTCAATTCATGATGGCCGTTCTTATATAAGGTAATATATATACATATATTTATATCTGTATATATATATATATATATATATATATATGTGTGTGTGTGTGTGTGTGTGTGTGTGTGTGTGTGTGTGTTACATATGTTGAATTTCATTTGCTATTGGTGAATTTGGTGTCAATTTGCAACTATATTGCCTGTATACTTGAATTTCCTTAACTTTCTACTTGGTTGCTATGAAAATTGAAAAGAAGGAAATGTGAACAATAACAATTAAATTCTTGTGTATTGCATTATTTAAATTCAGAAATCCATATTTCAGAATACTCACTTGAAATAAGCTAAATGTAGTTGTATCAGACTGTTAATGGGCCATAATCTATTAGGCTGTTTGAAAAGTCCAATCAGCCCAATCCGTGGAAATCGATCTGATCCGATCCGTTACTTCACGAATCAGTTTGGTTCGGATTGAAGGCCCCCACGGATCAGTTCGGTTTTAATTTTCACCAATCTGTGGGGACTGGTTCGACTTAATCTTTACCCTTAAACCAAACCGATCCGAACCGTCATTAGGCCTAGTGAAATGTGATGGTGGTAGTGATTTTTGAACTTAGAACATGAGCGTTATTTGAAAATATAATTTTTTAAAATAAATTATTTAAAAATGGAATGATCATTCAATAAATTTAGTTGTAGAATGAATTTTTTTTTTTAATAAAATAATCATTCTCACTTTAACAACACGTGAAATTAAAATAAAATTGTTAGAATTATTATTTCATTTTATTCATATATACCAAACATAGTACGAGACGAAGAACAAATAAGTACGGAAAACACATGGATAACAAAAGATAAATCCGTAGATAACAAAGGATAGTCAATATGGATCAACTAAAAGATCCCCACACACGACCATCCGTAATACAGTCATTGGCACATTGCACATGCACGATTTATTTCAAACAATATTGAATTACACTAGAGAATCATAAATACCGTAAATAACATGAAAAATGATTCTCTCCACGAGGAAAGGGATTAAATAAGTGAAAAAGCGTTACTCTTTGAATATATTTCATTAAGTGGAATGGAGTCAATATGAAAATGCAAAAACAAAAAAATTTAATTAAAAAAAAAAAAAAAATTGTAACTAAGAGTAGAACACAATAGTTAATAGTATAATTGTGTCTAGTTATTCTCAACTAGGTTGACTTCGAAGAAAATTCAAGAAATTATCCACGTACTTGTCTTGTATATCCTTGTCTCCAAACACTCCTTTCATCTCCTTAACCTTCTCCCTGTATATCTTCCCTTCTTTCTCCACCATCACCAACCTGAGTGACTCAGCCACTGAGTGACTCGTAAACGACCCGTCTCGCTCGTCTCTCGGTATCGAATAACCAATCTTCTTCTCTTCCAAAAGTCTAGCATTCAATCCTTGGTCTGACAAGTACGTTAACAATATAAGAGCTCTCTCAAGCTGTATAGCCTCCACCACCGAACTCCACCCGGAGTGAGTCAAGAATCCACCCACCGAGTCGTGACTCAGTATCCTGAGTTGAGGCGCCCAACTCGTGCACACCACCCCACGTCCTCTGGTTCTCTCCTCAAACCCTCCTGGCAACTCGATCAACTCAGTGTCATCTGACCCACGTCTCTTCCTCAAAACCCAGAAAAATGGCAACTCGGACAGCTCCAACCCAAGTGCTATCTCGGTCAACTCGAGTTGACTCGGTTTCGCCTCGCTCCCAAACGCAACATACACCACTGACCCTCTTCCCTGCTTGTCAAGCCACTCCTTTATTCCCAACCATTCCTCGCTCGTCTCCTCCTCGCCGGAATCGTACGCCGTCGTAGGCAACTGACCCACCGGAATCACCTTCTTCATATATATCTCTTCTAATACGTCTAACCACTGGGATTCCAGCTCATAACAGCTCCTAACAGCCACCACATCGCAGCCTCTCGCGGCGGCTCCGATCCGGTACAGATCCGAAACGCCGTCGTCTAATCCGGTCACGCTGTCAAACACTCTCGTGATCTCAAAAAGTCTATACGCTACGTTGGTTTCGAAATTAACCCATCTGGGTCTGACCGTGAAATCCTCCGGCTTACTCCGGTAATCGGCGCCGTCCATCAAGACCGACGGTGGGCCCAGAAAACCCAGAAACGCGGCAATACATATACTGAAGAAGGCAGTGTGGATTTTCAGATTGGCGGCAATTGGGCCCACCCAATAAGGCGCGAAATCGAATAGCACCCAATTTGGTGATTGGGTTTGGAGGAAGTGAGTGAAGGGTTGTTGGAGGGCGTCGAGAGCGATCTTGAGGTACTTGACCTTGTTGTAGGGTAGGTCTGTGGTGGCCTCTGCGTTTAAGGGTAGGTTGGGGATTTGTTTGGGTATGGGGAGCTTGACGAGGTCGATGAATGGGGCTAAGTTTGGCGGGAGTTTTGGGAGGCGATCGATGTTTCTAGGGGTGGAGAGGAAGGAGACTTTGTGACCCTTTTGGGCGATGAGCTTGGCGAGCTCGAGGTAGGGGATGATGTGACCGAAGGCTAGCCATGGGAACATGGCTATGTGGAGCTTACCAGCTGCTGGTTCGGACACGGATAGGGGAGGTGTTGACTCCATGGTTACGCCTTGTGAAGTGTTCTGCTACACAATCAGTACATATATATTTTTATTGTTGTATGTGTATATATATATATATAGGCATACTCACTTTTGTAGTGTAACTGCGCGTCTTTCCAATCTTTCAAAAAATGAAGTGTACCTCCCTTCCAATAATAATGATTTAACTTTTACAAAATTTCAACCAAGGGGAGAGTGGAATCAACTTCATGATGAGAGTGGAAAAAGAACAATATGCATGTCATTAATTAATTGTATATCCACGTGTGAAAATAAGTTTGGTAATTAAAATTTATTGTACGATTTTTATAATTAAAAATACAAAAATAAATATTTAGAAAAAAATGTTGCTTGTCATTTTTGAAAAATAAAATGATTAGTAAAAATGATAATTTGTTTTTTTTGAAGTAATGTTTACCACTACAATATTATTGTTACAGTGTGAAAACCATTAAAATATTTTTCTTAATATAAGTAGTACCTATATAATATTTGTAGTTCAATTTTTTTTATAAAAAAATATTAACAAAATTATCCTCTTTGCAATAACTGTCCCCACCCCAATGGGACTGCACATTTTCTGGATATAAAAAAATATTAACAAATTATTCTTTTTGCAATAACTGTGCCCACCCCAGTGCGACCACACAGTTTCTGGATGCTTCGAATGGAGTGCTAGATCAGCATCCCAGCTCATTTCTTGCGATTCTCACAACAATGGGGTTGTCCAAATCAATAGTGGGACCACATTATTAAATTATTAACAAATTACTACCCTACATATCACTTTGTTGATTTTTGATATGGACAATGTCATTGACGACACTATCGAGGATTAGTCTCCCAAATACGATTGAAAACGGCACTAATTTATTATTGAGGAATGGTAAGGACAGTTCTTTTGACCGTTGCTTGTCTCATTAGTTATTTCAAATTTTATTAATTACTTTTTATTTTTATTTTCAAAGAATATGAAAAATATAACCTAACTTAAAATAAAATTCACTTTTCAAAGATAAAATTATCTTTTAAATCATTTTATTGTATCTCTTCTCGCAATCCATATGCATGTAATATATATATTTTTTACTGTCTTTATTTATTTCTTTTTTATTTCAATTGTCGCCCCTAGTTTTTTTTTTTTTTTTTTTTTTTTTTTTTTTAAATTATTGCCATTAGCCTTTTTTTTTTTCGCCCTTCCTTTCATTTTTTTTTCTTTTCATATTTGGTTTAATAAATTTTTTTTCTAAATTTGGTAAACATTCTCCTGTTCTTATTTGTTCTGGTTTAAAATTTAATAACAATTTGGTTTAATAAATTTTTTTCTAAATTTGCTGAACATTCCATTGTTCTTATTTGTTCTGATTTTTAAAAAAAAAAAAAATGAAAAGAAGGACGAAAAAAGGCTAATGGCAACAACAATTTAGAAAGAAAAAAAAAAAGGGAAATAAAGAAAAAGGAAGGAAAAAAATAACTAGTGGCGATCATTGAAATAAAAAGGAAAGAAATAAAGGCAGTAAAAAATATATATATATACTACATGTATATGGATTGAGGGAGAAGATAATGAAAAATGATTTAAAGGGTAGTTTTGCCTTTAAAATGTGAGTGTTGTTTTAAAATAAATTATATTTTTCACCTTCCTTGAGAATAAAGAAAGAGTAATTAATGAGATTTTAAATAGCTAATAAGAAGAGCAATTATGAAAAGAGCGACTGTCCTTAACATTCCTCTTTATTGCTACCAATAGCTATCAGCTTAATTGCATATATCTTCCTCTACTTCAAGAAAATTACAAGGACGAGCATTAGAGTGCCACAATGTATGTGACTAATCTACCATATATAAAAATATTAATTTTCTTTTCTTTTCTTTTCTTTTCTTTTTTTTTTTTTCTTTTTACTACTTTGTGTAAATAGTGATTGAAAAATGCTAACGACAGTTGATAAGGGCGACTGTCATTCATAGTGGCTATTCTTATTGGTGAGTAAAATTATAATTAATGCCTTTATTAATTACAAATTTTTAACTTTTTATGGAATGTTAAAATTATTATTATTTTTGGACAAAATAGCCCTTTTAATATATATAAAGCATTACTTTCCTTTTTTTCCCTCTCCTTATTCTATCCGTATGCCAATATATGTATATATATATATATATATATATATATATATATATATATATAAATAGCTAACATTATGTAAGTGTATTCTTTCTTCTCTTTTATTTTTAACTGTCATTTAACCTTTATACATATATATTCTCTATATGAATTCATGATTGAGAGGATTGCATATATATATTAATTGGCATACGGATCTAACAAGGGAAAACAGAAAAGGAAAGTAACCCATACGGATCTAACAAGGAAAAAAAAAATGAAAAGAAGAAGAAGAAGAAAAGTAACGCGGATCTAAAAGTAACGCTTAAAAGGATTGTTTTGTCCAAAAGAAACTTGTAATTAATGAAATGAAAAGAAGAAGAAGAAGAAAAGTAACGCGGATCTAAAAGTAACGCTTAAAAGGATTGTTTTGTCCAAAAGAAACTTGTAATTAATGAAGGCATTAATTACAATTTTACTTACCAATAAGAATATAAACTGTCCTTAACATTCTTCTTTGACAAATCCTCAAATGATCCTGATTTAAGACCTTAGAATCTGCAGAATAAATCAAAACAATTATTTAACCAAGACAATAATCCATCTCATAGTTATTTTAACAAAAGAAGAAAAATAAATTGATTTGATGACTGTTGCAATTTCTCAACTCATTGTTGATCCATTCCAATTCTTTTTTTTCTTTTTCTTTTTTTTATGTGAGAATCCTTGTAACTACTCGCCCTTTGAACTTGTAATTATCGAATAAACACCCGATTATTCACCCGTTCCTCCCATTCTTTGTAAATAAAGAGTCCAACTTTTATTATAATCATTCAAAGGATAATCATTCATCCCGGGTTCATTTAGGCACTTATATGGATACTTATTAACCTGTTGAATTATTGGTCACCACAGTCCATCTCATAAATTTATCAATACATATTATTCACCATACACAAAAATAAAACATTGAGGATTGCTATGGTGACTATGGATAGAAACTCCCCTGTTGCTTTTTATTTTTTAATTTGTTTTTTATTTCTTAAATACCGTTAATTTTTTATTTTTATTTATTTATTTTTTTTACTGTGTTATAAATACCCTTATTTTGAGTAAAAAATTATAATCAGTGTCACGGTGAAAGTGAAAGAAAAGTGTGCCCTTACTTTAGAATGACACTGATGGTAATTTTTTTTTTTACCACAGTGAGGATTCATATAATGACAAGAAAAAAAAAACGTAAGGTTACATTTAAAGAAGAGGGTTAAAATAGTCTCGATGTTTATAGCCTCACTTTTTAAAAATAATTACCCTAGGTACCATTATGAAAGTAAATGCACCCGCAATATTTACCAAAGTGAGGCTATATTTAAAGAAGAGGGTAATGACGTCTCTACATTGATGGTGTGTTGGGCTAGAGGGAAGGATTGAGAATAAGGGTGCACAAAAGAATCGGAACCGTGAAATCGGAATCGGAATCGGAATCGTGAGAACTGGAACTGTTTTTTACGGTTCTCACAGTTCTGATTCCGGTTCTGAATTTAAGAACTGTGGACATACGATTCTGGTTCCAGTTTCAGCCCGTGGGAACCGGTAAGAACCGTAATCGTATATATATATATGTATTATATATTTAATTTTATACTAAAAAATGAAGTAAAATAAGCCGCTGGACTTAAAAAAAACATATTTTTTTTTAGTTTTTTTGCCTTGAATGTCTCACTCTCCCAGTCCTCGCCAGTCGCCTCCTCTCAAATTCTCAATCTCTCATGATCTGGGTTTGACGAAGTGGTGAAAACAAAGGTAAGAAGTGGTTGCTTCCTCCTCCTGGTCCTGATGATAAGATCCATTGCAAGAGATCCCACTTGAACATGTGGATAACGAGGCTTGAGGAGGAGGGCCCAAGTATTCATCATGATGATCATCAATACTAATACTGCTGTCTTCCTTGCTGAAACCTCTCATCTTTTTAACCTTTACTTTGTTGGTGTTAGAGAGGAGAGTTTTGAGGCCACGATTTTTGTTGGATTTCCTTTTCTTCTGATATATGCGACACACAATCCAATTTTCCTTTTTCATTCTAACTCCACTCTGCATATATATGTGTGTGTGATATTCAGAAACATGATATATACATCAAAATTAACCACATACATACATGTACGTACGTACATACATACATATATATATATATATATATATATATATATATATATTGCGTACTTTGATGATTAAATAGGGGTGGTCTGAGAGGGAGAAGGCAGAAGGCGAAATTGATGCAAGACCCAAGTGGTTGGAATTGGTTGATTCCCAACTGCTACTGCAATGTATAGACACCAAGTTAACGGTTCTATGGGAACCGAACCTTTTCTACGGTTCGGTTCCATGCTTTACGGTTCCGGTTCCGGTTTTAAGGAACCGTTTGTGAACGGTTCTCGTTTCGGTTCTGGTTCCGACCGGAACCGTGAGAACCGGAACCGTGTGCACCCCTAATTGAGAAGGAATGGATGAAAGGATTATGATTGGTTGGAGGAAAGAAAAGCAAGAGATCCAAGAGTGAAAGGAGAGAGAAAAATATAACTATCAATACCATCATTTTTGTTTCCCATTTTATTGGATCAAACAAAAAATTAGACATATTTAGGAGTGATAGGACATTAAAAATAAAAACAACACATATCAGCGACTATCAGGGGTGGTGCCAGTGTATTCCCATGAGGCACATGCTTCCATTATCTGGCCCCGCTTATTACAATATATATACTAAATTTATATGTTTTATATGTATATATGAAAAAATTCATATAAGTCTTCCTAAAATTTTTATTTTCTAAAATTATCTCTTAAATTTTGTATTTTTTTTTCTTTTTTACTCTTTAAATTCATTTAATTTCTTTTAAAAAATGTCAAAATTTTCTTTTTGAATCAAGCTCTAATTTTTTTTTCCTTTCAAAATTCTCTCATTTTTCTTTCCTTCTTAAATTTTTTTATTAATTGTTTATCTTTTTTAAATTACTCATTGATTGAAATATTATTTTGAATAATTTTTCTTCTTTATCTCTTAATTTATATTTATATTTA